CAACTAAAATATAGGTCTTTTCACTGCCTCTTTAAACACTTAGAATCTAAGGTATACAAGTTTTCAAGACAATCTAACTACAAATATTTTTAAACTTTCCACTATATTTACTTGATACTTGAATAAGTTAAAAATATGTTTGACTGCTAAAACTGTCAAAATGTGCAAACAACTTCAAAGCAAAAATCACACCAGAACTGTGAGGCAAGTAAAACTTTACATCAAATAGAAAATATCAATTTGCCAAAAGATTTAACGATATGATCATGATCAGACATGTCTATAAATAAATCTGTACATGTTGCACTATAAAGTGTACCTAAATATAGTGAAAACAGGTAGTCAGACACAGATATTCAAGTCAAATCCACTGAAATTTTTACAAACTCTTAAATAATCAAAGGACAAGTATCCGTATACTGTCTTCTTTTAAAATAAGCTGAAAACTTTGTTACAATATCACATATATATGCAATAAGAACATGACAAATTGTAATTATGACATTATACATGTTATCAGATATTCTAGAACAGCTTTAAACCTTTCTGTGTCAGAATTTTCTTGGAAATATATTAAAAAAAGCCAGGTTGTTTATTTTGCTTTTTGATAGCCTATATTTCATGATCTGTTATTTTTGCACAAAACATACTCAGTGAATAAATGTTACATATGTGGATTTATATGTGATATATATTATTTCAATGAAACTACAGTAAAGAATAGTAATGTTTTTCTCCAGTGTTTATGATACATAATTTAGAATAAATCTGACAGAGATCAGCACAAACAGCATTTCTAATGCCATCTAGTGAGTACTGATTGTAAAACATGATAATATGCAAATAAATTTGGGCAAATAATTAGAAATATGGCCAGAAATGGTTTGTCTGCATTCATTCAGGCAAATAATTTTCAAAAGTTCATATTTTCCTACACTGAAAATATATTTCCAAGAACCTAAACCAATATGTGTGCAAATCCAACACAACCTGGAACAATAAAACCAAGGAATGTACATCTGAATGACATTAGGAAGGTGGATATGCAACATGAAGGACCCATTCCAGTCTAAAGCCAATGGGCATTGGGAATGTAACATCCAAAATATGGTAGAAAGAAGTTCCCAGCCCACTCACATGTGAGGGCTTATGTTGGTTGGTCCAGCTCCAATCAAAACCAGTTCCCATGGGACCGACTTCCAGGCAGTGGTAGGAGGGAGTTCCCAACCAGAGGGATGAACTGCAGAATATATGGAAAAATACAGTCCAGACTGACAACATCTGGAATGAAACATCAGACCCACAGCAGGAGAATAGTCACTCCTTCTACACAGGCAGAATGCCACCACCCTACTCTCGACTGAGTGGAATTGTGCAAACTTGGGAGGATTCCTACATGATTTACTACCCAAGCAGCCAGGAGCCGGGAAGTAGTAAGGACTCCTGTAGTCCACTAGAAAAAAAAAGGGGAGGGGGAATAAACGTATTGGAGAATCTGGAGGAATGAATCACTGGAGCAAGTGCAATGGTCCAATTCCAGTAATCTAAGGAGCATTAGAGATGGGCAGCAATATCTTTCTCCTTTACTCATGTTAGTCCACAAGTGTACGGCCCAGTACAAACATATTTATATGCAATATACCTCGAGAAAATCCCACAAGCATGATAGAACTTATATATCTCATGGTGTGGATTTTGGATATCATTATACCTGGACAGGTACCACTCGCCACAGAGCAGAATCCATAACATGTAAATTAGGCCCCTGAAAATGAAATATGATAACTTACCCACTCAGAGTTGTACCAAGGTATAGAAAATAGCTACAGGGGAAAAATAATATCCAACTGAGAAGAAAACTGCCAGATAGTGAGAGTAGTGTGACACCAAGGTGTGTGAAGTGGTACACATGCCAGCCTGAATAATCTCCTCCAAAGAACAATGGAAATGAGCAGCCAAGGACATTTAGAGATGATGGATCAAGTGGGACAATACACAGAACAACTGGCAAGATTAAGGAGAAAGGGAGGAATATGCAAACCCAAGCAATAAGGGTTGTAGAAGAATATCACAAGAAATGGACAGATTCCAATGGATAAACAAATGAGAGTGAGAGCCACAGAAGGGTGCTGTGTGTGACACGTAACACTGTCAGGCATGGGCTGGATACAGGAGACAATCCAGATCAGAGCGGGATGTAAATATAAGATATGGAAGAAGGGAAATAACTGGAAAGGAAAACACATGGCAAAATGAAAGGGAGATGAGAGGGTTGCCTTATAGCCCACAATGGTTGAAAAGGACAGACCCCTGTCAAACAACCATGTAAAAACAGATACTTGGGAAAGGGAAGGAGAGGGAGAATCCATGCTGGACAGACTAACACTGGAATATTCTCCACTTACACTGACACACAGACATGGATAAGGAATGGACAGTGTGAAACAACAGGGATGCTACACATGTAGATAGATCCGAACCCCTCAAAAGGGACCAGACAAAATTTACACATGAAGTTGGAGTGTAGGAATGGAGGGTGAAGCACATCTGAGTGAGGTTGCCGGAGGAGAGAGGAAAAGTAATGGAGGTTGTTCCTGGAGAAGGAATAGGGACAGAAACTACGTTGAGCTGGCCAGGAAGGAGCCACAAAAAGGACCTGATACAGAGTGGATTGGATGAGAGAAATTACTCGAGGAAAGGTCCTTCCAATCCTGGCTGAATGCATCCATGGCCAAAGCCAAAGGATGTGGAACTGGGAACCAAAAGAGAGGCAAGTACACCTAGATGGGGAGTATCAAAGTATCTGAGAACAAAGCCATCAGAATAGTTGGGGTTCGAAAGACCACTCCATGGGTAGAATCTTGTCAGGACAAGACAGACAATCTACAACAAGATTGAGGGCACCCAGTATTTTACAAGCCAACAAATGAATCTGATGGCTGTGAGCCCAGAAGTGGAGATTTAGAGTGCAGGAACATAAGGATGAGTATCGAGTGCCTCCTTGACTGGTGATATAAGAGAACTCTCGAGCTGATGGAATGAATCATAACTGTTTTGCTCTGTAAAGATAACAGAAAATGAACTATCATCCAACAAACAGTAAGGAGTACCTAAAGTTTGATGTGAAGACCTAACTCCTCCTGAGACCAACAGCCCAAGATCCCTCATGTAATGCAGCATGCACCCCATCATGATAACAAGACATCTGTGAAAACATGGCTATCTGGAAAGAAGGAATATGTAACCCCAATGTTGTGTTGTCCCTATCTAACCACCAGAAGAAGTTGGACTGAAGGGAATCAGGAAGGGATACCTGTAAAAAATCCAGAAAGTTTCTGATGAGGTGCTAATGAACTTGTAGTACCTACTTCAAGGATTCCATGTGGCCATAGTCCAGAGGGATAAGTGCCTCCAGTGATGCCCAAGTCTTCAAAAGAGACAGAGCCTCTCAAGCAGGAAGATAAGATGCTGATAGTGCCCTCTGATCTAAAAACTCCATGGATCAGAAGCGAAGAGGAGAAGGTCGGGTTCGACTGAGATGCGAGTAGATAAACACCCTCAGATGAACGACATATTGAGTACAGTGAATAACGGTCTTCTCCACCTTGATAAACCAACCCTCCCAATCATATTCTCTGGGAAGAAGTTGGGTATTTGAGAGTCAGCCATCCATAAAATGATGTAATTGATAAAAATGATCCTCATGAACAAAACATAGAAAATGACATGTAGCCTGAGCAATAGGAATATGAAGATAAGTGCAGGAGACATTGAAACTCATCATCCAAAGCCCTCAAAGAAAGGCCCATCTGAGAGGCAGTTAGGATTCTATGGTGAACCATGGCATGTCTAGGAAGCAATTCAGATTGGAGATCAATCACAGGATGCTAATCCCCGCATTTCTTGGGAATGACAAAAAGTCGGGAAAAGAACACTGGAAGCACAGGAGAAACCAGTCTGATGGTGCCCTTGATGAGAAGGACTTGAACCGCTTCTGAGAAATGCTGGCAGGAAATCGTATCTTAAGGTCAGAAGAAAGAAACTGTGACAGGGGAAAAGGAGGGAGAGTACTTCGGACACAACTCAATTGACCCAAGAGTTGGTGGTAAGTCATCCACACTTCTGAGAAACAAAGGAGCCTGGCTCCAACAGGACCCGAATACAAAGGGTAGTCACCAGTAATACTGACATTGTAAAGGACTTAGGTGAACAGTGTAGACATGGTCTGGGAAGGAGGAACAAGTAAAAGAGAGAAAGGAGAAGGACAAGAAACAGGAACTGCAGAAGGAGGTTGGGAAGTAAGGGAAGACAAGGTAGTGTAAAATCTAACTGATTCAACACCAGACACCAAGATGTCTGGAAGCCCACCAAAGATCATACATCCCAGAAAAGGGGCTGATAAAAGGAAGTTGGGGGTGGGGAAAATGCACATGGGTCAAAAAGGAATTCTGATCCAAGATATCCCAGCAACACAGGAGCCAATTCGGGAGTGAAAGAGCAGATGAAGACAACCTAGACAAGTTGATGAGTAGGATGGTACATGCTTTTACCAAAAAACCTTCAAGAGAATGACTGAAAACCTCGGACAACAGGTGAATGGATGACAAATAACAAAGAAGCATTGTGAGGGAGAAAAAGAGGCAAACAAATTATGCTTCAGAAAAATACCCGGAAGTATCAGGAGCCAAACTCTAATTGGAAGAAGTGAATCCAACTTTTGTCCAATGAGAAAGAATTTGCTGAATGATGATATACAAGTGCATGAGCCACTGCAGTATGTGAAGGTATGGTATACTAACCCCTGCATGCAAGTGTTCTGCAAAATGTACAGCATGGACCCCAATATAAACCTTATACAGTTTATAAGGAAGGGGAGGGATCAAATGACACAGATGACAAAGACAAATCATAACATACCTAATGATATCAAGTCTAAATACAGTGAATGAAGTCTAGGTGCTTCAAAAGGCTAAAACACGTATCCACAGCAAAGGAATGGGAGGGGGAAGCTGTCTGAGTCTGCATCAACCTGATGGAAGTCCACAGGCCATTGCAGAAATGCTTGTAGATCAGGAGATCCCTCGGCCCACGTGAAAGAAGCCAATGCTTCTTCTGCCAATAACAACACACCTCCAGCTGTTGTCATGCTGGCATCGTCATTAGACATTGTACTCGTAATAGTAAATTGTGAATTGACAAATATTGACTGACTACCAGTAACTGAGTGAGAAATAGAATTCACAATCAAATAAAGAAATCCAACTTTATATTGATTATAAACAATACTTTGAAATGCAAAAATCAGTAACTGATTATTGTGAATATATGGTTCAACTGTATAGAGGGAGTCAGCAGCGATAGTAGGGTGTATCACACTCCTGTTGGTGGAGGGTTGTTGCATGCTAATTTGCAAGCTTAAACCCAGCTGAATCACATGTTATACAACTGGAATTAGATGGGAGTTCAATGATAGTGGCGAGCAAAAATGTACACACTAGAGGGCACTCAAATAGAGAATAGTTGTAATTGTGAGAAAGGTGAGTAATCCTATTGGAATATGGAGGGTACCCAAGTTATCTTGGGGCAAATCATAGAAGGTTTAAATTTCATAAAATGCACAACATAAGTAAACAAGGCAACATTCTAGTTAATGTTTTCAATTAAGTAATTTAATATCAAAACACTGCATTGTTTTTTTAGATTATTCAAATCTTACAGGCCTACATCACGAAAGGTTGAAATCATCACTGATTGTGCCTTTGTTTAGACACTTTAATGAATATGACAAACATAGTATTAAAGACAGTATATATAAATTAGCAAGATTGTTATCCTTCATACCCAATAATAAAACAACTGCCCTGCACCTTTGTAACATTATGAATATTTTACTGAAATTTAACACTAAATATAATTAATTAACTTAAAAAAAGTTCATGGTACTTAAGTAGAAATAAAATGTATGATATATTATCTATGTAGTATATTTATAAGTATAAGACAATACTATGTATTATACTTGAAAGCATAAGACAACACTATGTAGTATATCCATAAGCACAAGGCAACACACCTTGACCAATGTTAAAAAGCTCAATCATGTGTACATCAGCACAAAACCAAGTTATCTTTAAACACAAAATGTTTTTAATTATCAGTCTTTTTCACTGATAAATATAAAATTCAGCAGCTAATTTAAAGGGGAGGGGAGTGAATAGGGTAGCTAGCTATGCTCTTTTTCCTGAGGAAGTTTTTGGAATCAGCTAGTTTGTATGGCTAGAAATGTTTTCCAGGAAAGCACGCCTCAGTTTTACTCCATTAAGTAATCATCTCCTACATAAAATCTTGGATTAGCTCCTTATATGAAACCCAATTTCCATTCACAGAATAATATTTAAACAGATTTGGACAAGAAAAAAATTGCTGTATAATTTTTCTATTCATAGTTTGAAGTATAAAATACAATTGCTTGAGCCAAAAGACAAGTCCAATGTAGCTTATGCAAGTTTATTGGAAGTACTATATATATATATATTTTTTGACATTGTAAAAATGAACACTGTTTTAGCAACAGTTCAATGTTAAGACTGTATACCCACCCCTGCAAAACTGTACAACAGAGTAACTGCTACATTATTTAGCAAGTCTAATGGTTTTCTCTTAGTACAGATATTCAATGGAAAATCATTTTGAGGTATTAGTATCTCAAAGTTTAGAAATGTTGTGCCGTGAAACACTAGTTGAGGGAACTACAAGATATTAGGAATAAATTGCCGATATTAATTTAAAAGAAACATGTAAGTGATCATACTGTTTCTTCACATCTGTTTAAGGATGATCACAGATATACATTTTTAATAATAGGTTGTTGTTTTTTTCTTTTCTGTGACAAACAAAGGAAATTTAGTAACAAAATGGAAATATTATGGCTCAAAATAAACCATAACAATGTGGATCTTCAGTACAACTACTTGTATTTTATACGAGTTCTTTAACATAATTGAACACTCACCTCAACATAACCTGCTGGAAATAAACCAGTCTCTCCTCGTTCATTGGTTCCTTCCCACCATCCTTCACCCACATCCTTTTTCAAAAGAAAGTAATAGTTTTCTATAAACGTAAATAAAATCACGACCTAAGTCTCCAGAATGTAACTTTATTAGCTCAATATATCACTATTACAGCTTCATAAGGAGCTATCAGTATCCTACAAGTTAACTAATCCAATCAACTTAGATTAAATTGGATTACTGAACTTGTAGGATATCGATAGCTCTGACGAAGCTGTAATAGTGAAATGTTGAGCTAATAAAGTTACATTCTGGAGATCTAGGTCGTGATTTTATTTACATTTATAGAATTGTCTCATAATAAACTCCAGTTTGCGTTAAACAAAGTTAAGAATAATAATGTAATAGTTTTATCACTTCATTTATCAATATTATAAAGCACTGATGTTGACTTGAACGCATATTACTCAGATTTTCTGAAACACTATCTTTACTCCTTTAATACAAAATTACATCAATAAAAACATAACAAAATGTAGTCTGAATAAATACTTCCCAGTACTATAAATTTAGAAACCTTCTCTTGTTTCTTCCATTATCTTTACTTTCGTCCCTCATCTGGCATAAACTTACAATCATATAAATATATTGAGTAACAATTTGCATGTTAGTAAATGGTTAATAGAAATTACCTATGCAGTTACTTGCAATCTTTCAATACAAATAACCAATGAATTACTGTAGGCATTGTAGAGCTGTTAATCAGATAGGCAACAATAAATAATGAATGTTCACATGAGAAAAGTTGTAGCTGTGACCAAAGATAAGCATTTAATGCATTTGGTGTTTGAACAGATTGTGGTATCAAAAAGGCTTATAGAATACAAATGTGGTCAAAACTAAATGCTTTGAAACCATCAATTTGTTTGTTGTTTTTGTAAATATAATAATATAATAAAAGGAATGTACATCTACAACTATTAATTTTAAAACTTGAGATACTCTATTTTAATGAAAATATGAAGTACAAAGCAAAGCATATTGTATGTAAGAAAACACTGAATAATCAAATAAATGATGGAGACAAACATTTAATACTATTCTCATTTTTCATGTTTTTAATTTAGTAAGTATTTGAACACATATAACCATCTGAAATATGGTCCATTCACATCTTCAGGAAAAAAAAAACATAAAAGATATCCAAAAGAAAGATAGTTTCAATAAAGTGAGGTTTTTGAAACTCGCATGACACCTTGCATGGTGATGTGATATGCATGGCACAGTCAGCAGAAGCATATAAGTGAAGCTGCTGTAGAATGTACCAGATGTACATTATGAGAATTTATAGACCACATTTCTAGAGAATTTTGTAAGGGATGTTTGTTTCTCTTTATGGGATTTACTTAGATGATATGTTAAAAAAGTAAGTTATCAATAGATGTTTTGCACAAAGCATCAATGAAAATTTTCTCAGTGATGGTATCCACTGGCATATAAGATGTTAATGCAAAAAAGGTTAATCATGTTAATCGTTAATACATATACTGGAATAGGATCAGATTTAAAACTTTCTTACCTACTCTCCTTGAACTGACTTTTAAGAAAGTATTTTTATTTTTCTAATGACAAATGAAAGAAACTACCAGAGTTATCAAGACACAAGTTACATAATATATTTCATGTAAAATGTTACTTAACCCTTTTGCTGCATAATTCTGATATATCTAAATAATCATTTATACCCACTGACTGCAAAATTCAGATTTACTCCACGGCTACCAAAACAGTTTCCCTCTACTGCAAGATACAGGAATGTCCCCCTGGTTGAAATAATCGCCAAACCTGCGTGCATGCTGCCATCTGTGTGCTGCGCCGTGAAACGTGGATGTTTATATGGCTCATTACAAAACTGACAACTTTGCAGGAACACGTATAGAATCTATATAATGACAGCTTCTTTATATCTTAGATATTATCACCTAAGTAATTGATTCTGTATTTTGGCCTCTTACTGAAATAGTTTTGCCTATATTTATGCCATTTACTGGAGAACATTTTTCTTCTAATTTTCCTCAGTTTTTTTGTTTAAATCATTATTTTTCACTATCCAATTTTGTTTTCACTATCAACTGTCACTGTCAGATATAGAAAATGCAGCTTCTTTCAATATTTAAAAAGTAATAGAAAGGATCAAATTCATACTTTTTTTTTTTTGGTGGGTAATTGACACTTTTTTTGGGAATCAGCCTGAAAATTAATTGCACAGTGAAAGGGTTAACTTGAATGTCAATCCACATATCTGCCACAACAGTATGATATTAGTTGTTATAATGGGTAAATTAACTCAATTAAAAATTTTGAGTTCTATAAATAATCCATTTTCAAAGTTATATACATATCTGTTTATCAATATTCAAACAAACTTTGTGTAACAATCTTAAAGATTTTGAATTTTAGTGGACAACATTTACCTGTCTTGTTAAAGTTAATATCTCATTATTCCATATACTGAGTTCACCAGTTCCAGGTTGAGCTTCAAAGTCATACAGAGCACGAACCTAGAAAAAAAGAAAATGTTTTATTGAAATGTACTTTAAATACATACTCCACACTGCTATAACATTTACAAATACTCTCTCTTTTTTGCCACTCTCTCTACATTCCTCCTTCATCCTAAGTAACCTTACTATCTCAAATCTCTTTCTGATAATTACTACATGTAATAAGAGAAGGATAATGCCTTCCATTATCAGAATATTTCGACAAGTCACCATTAGTTAAATATCATCATGTCTATCTGACATTCCAATTGAAAGTAGACTGTGCTGTTGAACCCTATTTGCATTACGATGTCCCTAACAACCCAGTTTCAAGAACACTAGGTGAGTGATGCCAAGCTAACTATTCCTAAAAGACTACAGGAATTCAGCTTCACAGAATGTAGTCCAGTAAACAATGATTGATTCCATTTTACAACAATTACAACTGGTTTGCATTGACAAAAAATGAGAACATCTGTTTAAAACCAAGTCTGAACTTCTAATTCATATTTGTAGATATACAAATTAATTTTAAGTGCCAAAACTTTGATATGACTGTTTCAAGTCTGTGAATAGATAACTGTCTGATCTACAAGAACTCTGGTTGTCAACAAACAATTATCTTGTCTCAAGAAAAGAAGTCTGGAAATGATGAACATAATGAAGGTGAAGGCATATGATGTGAATCACATACACACTTATAAAGCATCTTCCACTGCTTTAGCCAAAGAAAATAGCCAGAGTTTTCATCAGATAAGACAAAACCTGGAAATATTGGCAAAAACTTTCTACAAGGTTAACATAAGCACAATATATAAAATAAAGGGCTGAATCCATTCTGCATTATAAACAAATACAAGTAGAACAAAATTATTGTCTCACACAGACAAAGTGCATCTATCACAAAGAAAAGAGGCAAAGTAGGACCTATGTGCACATGTGTGTGGGTCAGAGTGCACATGCCATGATCTTTTTAGCAACATTCAACATAATGTCATGTACTGATGTCAGATTTATCAACTATTCATTTTATCCTGCACCACTGATTTAGCAACAGCTTATGGTACAGGAGAGTCAATACCAGATACAATATACAGGGATTTTGAAAAAAAACTATGGATATGCAGCTTAGTGCAGTTTAGTTTGCAATATGCAAACTGTATGTTGAACAAAAGTACTCTTATTTTTCAAATGGACATCACCTTGCAATCGACTTGTCAGAATCTGAATCAGACTGACATCAGCAATTTATATCTTGAGTACAAATATATTTGTAACACATCAGATTGTTTTATGTGCAACAGACCTGTACAGCAAATCTGAATTATAGTCAATACTCCTTCTGCAATACAGGGTCAATCGAATGGACTGTCCCATGCACACCTAGTTAATGAGTTGATCTATTCATCAAATTATATCTTTTCTAACTGCTGATTTAAAAGTTGTACTCAGTTTCAAATTTCTTTCCCATGTCCGACATGAGAAAGAATTAAAGGGCTACCCAAGTATTCCAGCTTCTTGTAAGAGAAAACTCCTCATATACAATAGTTGATGACTTATATATACTTAATGTCCTTTGTCACTTTGACTTGTCTTGTCTTGACTGAGACAAAGAACACCCAATGTTGGATATAAAATGCTATATTGTACACTGTAACTCTGATCACAAACACTTGCTATTCTAAAAATTCTAAACATAACAGAAATTCAGAAGGGTGAATTTTGAATTCCACCAAATCTACTGTTATATAGACACTGCCTGACTGATAAGCTTACCATTGACAACTTAAATGATTTTCTTTTGATGTACTTGACCCTAAGAAAATGTTCCTGTTTTTATTAATAGGATAACAAAACAGTGTAGTAACAATCAGTAGTCCTGTTTTATGGGGACACTGACTGTTCTGCTCTGGGGCCTGGAATCGCTGTTGGTGGACCTACAGATGTGCTACCCACTCTTTTCAGTTCTTTCCCATATAGAGATTAGAATCCAATATTTAAATGGTTTCAAAATGGGTGCATAATTTTTGTTGACTCATATGCTAGGGTGACTGAATTACTGGTTAAGATATAGATAGCTTCTGTTTGAATTATTTTTCTAGTATGTGATTTATTTCCCCTTATTCCATTTTTATTGAACGGTTTTAATCTCGACCTCATGAGTTATTACAAAGAGTTTGGTATTACACAGTTCTGCATTGTGATCCAATGTATTGGACTCTACATTCACTGAGATGCTGTGTATGGTGCTTTATTGCTATCTTCTGGGTCTTCAGATGATTCAGCATGTGCTAACTTCACATACATTGTGTTGCTGCTTTTGTTTATTGGTTTGACTTAATGTTTTTTTTTATCCTCTGTGTGTTTTAAAATAACAATATACAAGCAAGAGACTATTTGGTTCTTCAAGACTGTCTTTGCACACCCACCAATGGCAAATTAGAAATTTAAATTCACCCTTTGTTTTTTTAAAGAAATACTGATTTCTCTCTTTAACTCAACTATTGCTAATAGCAAATGATACCATATGTCAGTTACCTTGTTAGAAAAATAAAACTGTCTTAACTAGAGTCGAGCCTGTTTTTGTCAAATTTTAAACTTTTGTCCTTTCATCCTATTATCTTCAAAATATAGCACAAAGAAAACAAATCTTAACCAGATAAATCTGCAACATCAAAATAAATTTCAGTAAGTCAACCTCTTATGCTTTTATCATCTTTTATAAAGAGAGAGTAAGTTAACTTGTTGCTTTAAGATAACTCTTCCATACCTGGAATCATTCTAGTAGCTCTCTTTTGAATTATTTCTTAAATAATAACCAATATTTACACAGTATTCTAAGTGAGACCTGGTAAGTGATTTGTACAGAGAAATAATTACCCATTTTTAACTAAGGTAATCAAGACACACAGTAGTGTGTCATGCGGCCAAAACAAGCTGCTGTAGGACACATTGTGTGTATTAACAGGATTGATAACTTAGCAATTTTCCACCTTCTGTATCTCGGACTATGATAATCCAAATAACCATATATTTTCAGTGGATGTGATCTTACTTCATATACCAAATTTCAAGGCTATCCATTAAGAAATACCTGAGATATAACATCTCCAATTCTGATTGAGTTTCTTCCTTTTTCTTTGCACCAAAAGTACAGTCTTTATTTGATAGAAAATCATACTTAACTTTTATGGATGTTTCTCAAGTTTGGTATACTGATAGATCTTTTCAAGCTTCAATTAAGAGTCTTATTTGGTGTAAATATAATCTACATGTGCAAAGTTATTCAACAAAAACCACTCAAATTTTGCACATGCCTACGCAAAAAGCCATCACTAACATTTTTACTACAGCTTCACCTAAAAGTAAAAGTGAAATGTTTTTAGTCTTTTGTCATTGGATTAAAGATAGCTGATTTATAGCAGCAAAACTATAAGGTGAAAGGACATGCGGATACATAATTATTAGTTACGCCAAGCATACTAGATTAGCAGTTTCTAGCTCAAATTTGGAAAAGAATTATATGAGTGGACAGTATTATTCATTGCAAACTTTTTAGCATGAATTTACTAAATTTTATGAAATTCTTCTAATTAAAGAGGATTTAGTATCATGCTATATTTATTTGTTACAGACCACCAAATGATGCTGATGAAATTAGTGAGAAACTTTACAATGAGATTAATATTTTAGTTGTTAATGAAGTCATAATTATGGGTGATTTTAATTACAGGCATATAGATTGGGAAATTCTAGAGTCAAACCAAGAGGGAGAAAGGTTTTTGGAAACTGTACTGGATAGCTTTCTTCACCAGTTAGTCAAGGAACCAACTATAAACAATGCTATTTTAGACTTATTGTTAACTTCAAAGACAGAAATGATCGAGAGGGTGTAAACTGGGAAACATCTGGGTGCAAGTGATCTATTAGGTTTGATGTTTTGCTGCATATGGAGATAAGAAATAATGATATTTTAGTTATAAATTTCAAAAAACAAATTCTGAAAGGATGTGGCAACAACTATCTTTTGTACAATGGGCAGCTGAATTATTTAGAGGCATGGATCAGACGTGGAACATTTTTAAAGAAAATGTTTAAATATTCAAGGTAAACATATTCCTTATAGAAAGAAAAGGATAGTTGCAAGTAAAAAACCAGTTTGGCTCACAAAGAGTTTAAGAGATAAAATTAAAGATAAGCATCATAAATTTAAGAAATTTAAATTGACTGGTATAACAGGAGATTTAAAAGATTATAGAAGATCAAGAAAGTTGGTGAAACAGGAAATTAGGACATCAAAAAGGATGTTAGAGAAAAGGTTGGCTGAAAATGTAAAGATTAACAGTAAGGATTTCTTTAAGTTCATTAAGGGTAAACAAAATGTTAGGATGGGGGTAGGACCCTTGAGGGATGACAAAGGAAGGCTAGTATCTGATGATTATCTGATGGCTGGGTTATGAAATTTCGCTTTTTCTTCGGTATTTACTAACAAAGGTTTAAGCAGTATTCCACATCTTGAACAATTGATAAATGGAAATGAGATCAAACAAGATGTCTATAATAATTCTGAGCTGGTTAAGAAAAAAAATGGGAAGTTTAAAAATGATAAGGCTCCTGGACCAGATAATATTTCCCCAAGGGTTTTGAAGGAGGTTAAACATTGGATATGTGAGCCACTTACAACTACTTTTTATCAATCCTTGAATAGTGGGCAGGTACCATAGGATTGAAAGTTAGCTAAATGTAACTCCTCTTTTCAAGGGAGGTGATAAAAATTTTCCCAGTAATTATAGACCCATTAGTCTTACATAAGTTATGGGAAAAGTCTAGAGAGGTTATAATTTCATTGTACAGGTCACTGGTTAGGCCACATCTGAAATGTGTTCAGTCTTGGGCTCCTTACCTTAGGAAAGACATTGAATTGTTGGAAAGGGTTCAGAGAAAGGTTGCTAGAATGGTGAATAGGATGGAAGGATGTCATACAAGGAGATTCTGAAATCTCTAAATTGTTGTCTCTT